ACTTGGACCTACCCTGTTCTTTAATTTAATGACCCTAAGTGCAAAAAGAAAGACATTCCCAGTGCAGCAGAGACAGAGACAAGGTTCTTTGTGCAGAGCAGTGCAGATGGTACCCACGTTCTGGTGAAAGCAATTAGAAGCTCATGCTAAGGCAAAATAAAGAGGTTAGGACCATTTGTTGCTCTGAGAATTCTATCTAGGAGAGGAGGCACTGGCACAGTTTTGCAGACTGTGAGATGGGAGATGTTGGATATAACATGCAAAGGTCGGATTCACACGTGCTGTTTCAATTCCAGAGGTAATCACACCAAAGTTAACAGATTTGCAGGGATTTACACCCTCACAGAAGGGAGGAGAGCATGGCCCAGAAGAAACAGAGAGGGGAGAGGCCAGCTGGAATGAGCAGCACAGGATTTCCATGTCTTGCTTTGGGATCTGAAGGGCTGATCACAGACAGGGATTTGTGTTACACGGCCAGAGCTGAAGGTTCAGGTCCCTGTGTGCTCAGGGGTGTGTGGTGGAGGTTCCCTCTTTTTTCCCTGAGCTTGAGTGCAGCTGGACTTGGGGTATGGCTGCCCCCAATTCACAGCAGAGACTTGGCACACAACCCCAAGAGCCCTTGAGATATCAGCTCTGTACTTCTGGAAGATGTGTAGGAAAGTTTTTCCCCGAGGCTCTTCCCTCCAAACCCCTTCCCCTCTCCCTGTGTCCTCTCTGTTGCTAGAGAGTGGGAAAGACTCACAAGATTTGGACCTGAACAGGCAAGTGGTAGCCAAAACAGAAGCCCTCTGTGACCAGAAAACAGTGCAGAAATCAGGATTTGGTTATGAGGGAGAAACCAACCTGCTGAGTGGCTGAGGAACACAGTGGCAATTCAGGCATGGCATGGAGCACAACAAAGCAAAGGCATGGGGAGAGCCAGAGCTCCAGGGTGGGTTGACCTTCAAATGCTCTTTGAGCACAGCTTCTCTTTCTATGAGGAGTTAATAGGTCTCAGTTAAGAGAGACTAATAAGATCTTTCTGATGGGCAGAAAAATAGGGGAACTTGGATTTACTGACAAAGAAAAGGGTTTTTTCAGCTATCCTAGTCTGCATTAATGCTCCCATAATGTGCAGGAGGTTCTGCTGAGGGAGAGGTCCCTGTAAGTAAGGCCAGCTGCTGGCTTGCCTTGGGTGTTGTCTGGCCTCTCTTCACTGGGGGAGAAAAGATGCATCCTTACATCCTTGCCCAAGTACTTTGAACTTCATTCTGAGGCTGATGTTCATTTTGCCGTGCAAAACCCACTCCTGTGACACCAATGGCAAAAACCGAAGAAATTAAATCAGTAGAAGTGGAATTGCTGCATAATAACCTGGCGTGGCTCCATCAAAATCTTTGTTTTGTCATGAGAAGCCTTCCTTTAGAAGGATAAACAAACAACCCCCTCTCTAGGGTCTCTCAGTGAGGCCAAGCCTTGCCTCTCCCCAGAAAGAAACCTTTCATCTTTCCTTTGCAGGGGTATTTATGATGCTGAAGGGAGAGCTCCAAAGGCTTGTTCCCCCTTGCTGTGCCCCCAGCCCAGCAGGCAGGAGCTGCTGTCCCACTCCCTCCTCCTGCCTCAGCCCAGCCTTGGGACAGGCTCAGCCCCACCTGAGGCACCTCTGCTGGGCTGGGGAAACCCACGGCTCATCCTGGGTCTCTCTCTGCAGGCAGGAGGGTGCCATGAGATGAGGAATTGAGCCAACACCTTCTCCCAGCCTGCCCAGCCTGATGATGGTGCTGGAGGGTGCAGAGCCTTGCCCTGCACTGCTCACCCCTCGTTCAGCTCAGCTTTGAACCCCGGTGCCAAACGGGACAATATTCACCTGCTTCACACAGGGCAAAGAGGGATGTTCCTGTGAGATTTTATTTTTTTTCCTTTATGCAAGTGGCTGGCAGGCTGTGATGGAGCTGAAGAAATAGCTCTGGATTCAGAGAAGAAAGAGACCCGGACTTTTTCCCCTCTTCCCTGAGAAAAAGTAATTTACGTAAATTTATCCACGACTAGCACACGGCAATAGCTCACAACTTTGTTAATGGAAACCTGGTGATCCATAACACTTGTGTGGGAGATATTTGCTCGGGGGTAATACAATATTAATGTTAATATCAATGATCGATCAGAGGATTTGCAAGAAAGGCATAAAGTATTTAATTATAATTACATTGGGAATGGCTTTGTAATGGCTACGACATTTGAATAAGGTCACGTCTAGCCCTCACCCCTGTTATGTTGTTCTATATTAAATGCCATTCACTTTAACTGCTGGAAACCTTTCTGGAGTCGTCAGAATATAATATACTGGGTAAATTGAAATATGTCCCTTCATTTTTCGAAATATGATTGATATCTTTTGCAAAACAAATGTTAACACCTCTTTGTACACAAATTTCTTTGATTATATGTTAGGGAAACTAAATTATGACAGTCTCTCCTAGCAGGCACTTTACTGTGAGGAAAGGACACGGCTATTTCTGAATATTAATTCATCTTACAGAAAATGGCTTTGGATCTCTGCTGTAAATCCACTTGGGTGTATTTCTGCCTTTCCTAATGCATTAATTCTACGTTGATTAGTAGCCATGAACTGCTTCTCCACTGGTCTCAGCAGCCCACAATGTTCACCTGACCCAGGTGCTGCTGAGGAGGAACTTTTTGCTGTCACTGAATTATCTCTTGTTAACAGCATCAACCAAGAACACATAGTAACAATCATATTTGCATGTTTCACAGCAGAAAATATGTATTTCAAATACACTGCAGGTGTGTACCATAACTATCAGCCCAACAGCAGCATTGTCATGTTTAAAACAATCAGGAAAAAGATCTGTGTGTAAAAGAGGAATATTTATCTGTAGGCAGGATCCCAAAGGTGCACAAGTACCCACCCACAAGGAGTGCATGCAAACACTGAAGCACTAAGTGAGGACATGCTCTTCCCACACATATTTACTACTGAGCATAAACAATAAAAAAGCAAATTCTCGTCCCTCTTCAAATGAGAATCCATCCTTGCAGTACCCCCCCTCCCGAGATTTTCTACTTTTTCTAATATCAATGTAAACAGCAGATCAATCAGGTCTAAAGAGTAAAATTTTGCTTTCATATTTTCCCCCAGAATAACTGTTGATTCACAGAGAATTGAAAGCTCCCATTTGAAGGCAGAATTTGTTCTCAAGAAATCATCCCTTCAAAGTTTGGAAGACATGCAGTGATGTAATTGACATGATTTTCCATTTTCTCTTTTCTGAAGAAGAAGCAAAGACTTTTGCATGCTGTAGAAATGCTTGAAGAGAATAAGTTTTATAGTTTTCCAAAAAATGGGCATTTATTACCAATCAGTGTGAAATACCACTGATGGTGAATTTTAAGTATATGGCAGGAGTTTCAGCATCATGACAACATACATCATGCATTTTTACAACATATAAGTGCAGTGATATTGCTCCCTTTCTCAATAACAATATATAAGAATATATAGTATAAATGTACAGTATATATTAGACACAATGTAAAATAACTTAGTGAAATGTCAAAGCTTCTGCATAAAAATTCAAGCCATGCCTGAGCATACCTCTGTGCTGAATCTTATCTCATATACCTTCATTTACCTTTAGTTCCTGTTGCAAAGATAATTTTATCTCTGTATTTAATTGCTTAAAACCATCAGAATTCTTGTCTTTTTTTCCTTTTCTCTGCAGTAGGTGAAGACTGTAATAGCCAAGTCAAAGCCAGGATTTTGTGGAGCCTTTGCTAACGCTGTTTATGTTCTCGGAAGCAATTCATTGTGAAAAAGTTGTATAAAAGCAACTTCTTAAAAGCTTATTACAGTTCATCATTGTCCATCGGGTTCTGTTCCAAAATATCCCACTGCATGTAAATGATAATGAAGTGGCTTTCTCAGAAATGGAGCTCATGAGCTAACATTGATATCTGGAAATTATAAATCTCACCAGTTTAGCTGAAATCATATCAAGCACCGCTTTGGTAATTGCTTGCAAGAAGGATCAATAAAAATCTGTTTAATGGGAATATACAACTAGTCTCAGAGCAGGTAGGTGGAATTTTAGCTTTGCTCAACACTCGACAGAGCTTTTTGCAGTGCCAGGTTTCCCTTCACACTTGATAATGAAATATGGTTAAGGACTCTTCAGCAGCATCTCAGGAAGATTTCTGATAGTACATGAGAAGAAGTGTTGGGGTTTTTTTAACCAAGGCATTAAGAGACTCCTTGACTGTCACATTACTTATCAAAGTACCAGAGTTCAGCATCCTTGCAATTAGGTCTCTTGGAATTATTTTCAATACAACTTCACTTCAACAATTTAAACAATTCTGCCCTGAATATAAACAAAAATATACTTGAAATACTTATGAGCAACTGTGTTTCCTAATGAACAATGAATTAAAGCTGCAAAACAGTTTGAAATAAGATGTTAAAAGAAAAAAATCAGGGAAGAAGGCGATTTTCTATCATTTCCTTTTAAGAAACAAATTTCCACCCCCTCGCCCCCCTACATTCTCAGCCAGTGTAAGTCAACAGAATTACACTGTTTTAGATCAGCTTAAGTTCTGACCTATATACTCCAGTGGAGTTAATCCTAATTTCCACCACTGAAAGTGGGATCAAATTCACTTTGTCTTTAATAAAGCAGTGGATGATAAGTAAGTCTCTTCTCTGTCGGATTCTGCTTGAGAAAGGAAATTCTTTGTGGTGCTAAATGATGTCTGAGACAGTTTAGAAAATAAAGCTAGAATTTCATAAATTTCAGCATGGTGAAAACCGATATTGGCAACAGCTATTTATGCTTTAATCTTAGCAAAGTTCCTTGGGTACAGGCAGGGCATCAGCTGGTGAGTCTGTAACCCTTTCTGAGCACTGCTTGGGAGGAAAACGAGGAGGCAGGCGGCTGATTTTCAGTGACATGAGGCTGCTGAACACACTGTGACTCACACTTTGTTACCATGAATAAATAACATCACATTGTCCAGAACTGGAGATTAATATGCGGGGCCTCCAGTAGGTGATATTTACTTTCTTGCATGTTATACTGAGATCTCAGGACAGGCAAAGGGTCGGGGGCTGAGAGGATGTAATCGATGCTAAATTTGATTTCAGAATCCGATTTTGCCAAGGAGGAATTGCTTAGGTTCTGCCTGTTGGTCACGCTGTTTGGAGCAAACCCACAAGGCTCCAGAAGTTTTGGGCCCGGTTCAATTCTTTCATGCTTACTTTCAGAGGAGGAAACATTGTTCAAAGCAGAGTCCACAGAAGAGGTATTGGGGGACGAAGGACTTTTCACTCTGCCCGGTCTCTGCTCCTTGTGCTCCCTTTTCACATTCCTCCTCCTCCGTCTTCTCCTGTAATTCCCATTTTCAAAGAGATCCAGCATGGATTCGCATCCTGCTGCAAAGCTCCAATAGTTTCCTTTCCCCTTCTCATTCCCTTCTGTTCTGGGAACCTGTATTTATTTAAAGGCAGTTCAGTGTTTGTATGTGTTACAGATGCTGCTGTTTAGCATCTGCATTCATTTACATTTAAGAATGGTGTAAACACATATGACAAGACTTTTAAGCCTATTCTCTGTCATTACATGAGTAAGATGTAAGCCCCATCCTCTTCAATTTGTTATCTATTAACATACATCAGACAAGGATATATTCCTTATCTCTGTAATTGACAACTCAGAGGGATTTTAAGTGATTTGCAGCTCAGCTGTTTGTTTCCCTTCTCTCCTAGTGATGAGATTATTGCTGCCTATATTTTTTTAGCCATGCACAGTGTGTATGTAAGTACACAGTAACTGATCTTACCTTCACAAAACAACTGTTAAGCGATAAGTTATGTCGGATGGAGTTCTGCCAGGCTCTTTGATTTGATCTGTAGTAAGGAAATTTCTTCATTATAAAGTCATAAATGCCAGAGAGGGTGACTTTATTTGAAGGGCTTTGCTGGATGGCCATTGCAATTAAGGCAATGTAGCTGGAAAAAGGAAAACTTGCTGTTACACCATCACCCTACTCACAACTCAGTTTTTAGGACCACATGGGTACATGTGTGCCTATATCCTGCTTCCAAAATTCCCCCGGTGCATCTGTGCCTTGACCCGAGGTGTCCCAGGGAGAAGTCCTGAGCGTGGTCACTGCCTGTGCTGCACGAGCCCCAGGTGACACAGCGGGGTCACTGCCAGGCACTCAGTCCTCAGGGCTGCCTGCCCTGGCACTCAGTGCAGAGGACAGGACCCTCTACAGCTCCCTCTGAAAAGTTTCCCTGAGCAGGAAGGCTGCAGTGAGGCAGAGTCACTGTCACAGGAGACCACCCCTGCTCATGGAAAGGACCCTGGGTTTCCCTGTGAACACCGTGCCTCTCCCCAGCACACCGGGGGTTTCTGCATCCAATTCACCCCCTGGCACAGTGAAACATTTAATTCCCTTCTCCCAGGGGTCCTGGAGGTTGGAGACTGTCTGAGATCTGGAGGCTTAAGGGCATGCCAGAGTTGCTGTGACCCCTCATGGGAGGAAACAAATCATGAACACTTCACAGACAGAAAGGGGGGAAACCTGCCCACTGCAGTGCCTGCAGCAGGGCCAGACCCATCGCACACACCTGGCCCCTGCTTCCTGGGAGCTGAGATCCCACCAGCCCAGAGCTCAGAAACCTCACAGAGACAGGGGGACTTGGAAAAACTTCATCTTACCTGTACGCTGGTCTGGTGAATTTTTTCTCTTCGTCAGAGCTACAGGTAGGATAATCATCCCCATCATAATTGAAGCAGTTATAGGGGTACTGCGTGTTGTCAAACATCGTCCTGCTCCTTGCTCAGCTCCTGTGGAGTGAGAGAGATGGAGTGATGTTTCTCAGAGCTTGGACTCCCTCCTCCCTTCTTCCCTCCCCTCTGTCTGTCTCATTCCCTCTCTCCCCCCTCCTCACACTCCCTCTCCTCCGTGCACACACACTCTCCGTGATGGGGTGGGGATTGTTTTTGCAGTTCTCTCGTCCCAGGCAGCCCGTCTGTTCGGATATTATTTTTTGGGGGGGTGTGTTATTGCTGTCCCTGCAGTTGTCCCCAGCAGTGGGGTGGCACGGGCAGGCTGGGGGGGCTGGTGCAGCCGGGAATTTTGGGGTGAGCCTCCGGAGCGGGGTGTGCGGTGCCGGTAGCCGCGCTCAGCTCGCTGGGTGGTCCAGGCTGGAGAGGGGCCAGCGCTCCCCCGCCACATCCACAACGTGACAAAGGCAAGCAGCATGATGTTAATAAATCATGCTTCAAGGTCTCCACTTGGAAATTAAACTTTGAGAACGGAGTGCAGCTCCCCACAGCCCCCGAGTGCTCCCCCTCTGGATTTATTCTCTCCCCAGCGGAGCAGGGTGGCTTTTCTTAATTATTTATTTTTAGAAAACCGACGTACAATAAACAGACGTTCCAGGCAGTAATGCACGCTTGTCCTGATCTGCAATCTATAATGCAGTATAATAGACATAAATTATATTTCCATGACTAAAGGAAAATCTGTATGTTCAAAGAAAGTAGAACAGAGGGATATGAGGGACTACTGTCAAGCAGGAAAGTAAAAGGAAAATAGCTGTAGGCAGGAGAGCTGCCTGTGTGGGCTTTGATCTGAAGGATGAATTAGACTAATAGCCCTGTGTGTTGGCATCCAATACTGTAACAATTTAATAGTTTTTCAATGCTTTGGAGTGTTTTCCAACAAGTGATGTAAACCAAAGGCATCACGCACCATTTCAGGGGGGACTTAAAAGGTGTGTGCCACACGATAATTAAATTATTTGAAGACAGCTCTGTCCCAGGAAATAGCCTCAGGAGGAAATGGGTCTTGAAAAAGAGAAAGCAAATTGGTGTGCAGAGAGTTTCCCTGGATGAAAATATAAAAGCAGAACCACTAGCAATGCAACTTTTGTTTTCTGTAGCATCTTTCATACAAAGTATGTCCCCAAACCCCTTTCGAAGGTAAAGGATACAATTAAGGGAAAATTCATCTGAGTGATAAAGAGCCCTTTAAAATGATGCTTTAGTGGCTCCTAGAGTTCTGACAAGGATGGACATAAGAAGGCTTTTTGTGTGGAATATAACAAGACATCATAGCAGGGCATAGGGGGAGATATATGGCATGAGAAAAACATACAGATGAGGTGTTTTCTTGGGAATATTAAACCAGAGCAGATAGCCAAAATAAAAATTATCTCCGCTCTAAAATACATCAATAGGCATATGCATGAGGCATCCACTGCAGAGGAGGTGTTAATTCAAAGGGTCAGCTACTGCTGCCTAAGGCATTAGCAGGGCTTTAATACTGAGTAAGACAGAGGAGATTCAGTGGAGGAAAATGAAATATATAATGTCTGATCTTCATTGATACTCTGTCCAGCTGGACTAGAAGGTTTAAGGTAAGGAAGAAGCCAAGTCACAGATATGGGAAGATTCTCCCTCCCTAAAACCCATGATCCTTGACACAAGTAGATTTTCACTTTGATTTTTAGCAGTGGTTCTTCTCTTTGGAGTTGTTTTACCTCACTGAAGTTCCAATAACTTAGATTAAAAAAGGTCTTCCTTCTGATTTACAACAATTTCCAAAAGCAGAACTGTTTTGGTTGACTGCTTTTACCCAACTCTAGCCATCCTTTTTTCAGTTCTTTGTAGTCCATTTATGAAAATTGGCTTAAGAAAAGTCAGACAACACACTTTGACAAAAATCCTCACATATTTACTGACAGCATTTAATAGGTGAAATTTCTGTAATGGGAATTAGAGCAAATTACTGTAGTGTAGTGTATGTAGTAATGTTAATTATCTTTATTCCTGTATTTTCCTGCAAGGGTGAGTGTAACCCACTTGTCCATCTCTAGCACATCTGCAATGTGCATTACAGCTCATGGCCACTGTATTCCTCACCCATTCCGGTGGGAAATACACTTGGATTAAACTTCCATCTCAGCAGTTGGATTGTGAGGCTAAATTGAGCCAAAGGAGTCAGATCATGGGTTGGTGTCCCTGGGCATCACCTCGGGGGTGAGTGGGGCCATGGGTGAGTGGTGCAGGGGCAGCTTGGCAGGACACAAGAAACTCCTGCCACTGCCATTTGTGTCACACATCATCTGGGGATAGACATTATCACTTCCTGAGAGCTGGAGGATTTGGTTTCTGGCTCTGTAAATATCACTACGCTCACCTGCTGCAAATTCATACAGACCCTAAGAAGAGCACAAACCATTTCTGAGTCCTACAAGATCAGAAACAAATTATATACGATCACTCATAAACTTGTTTCTGAAATCCAGATATGCAAAACCAGCAGAATATTTCTCAAGGTAATTTTTAGAGCCTGCCTGCTTATATTTTTTTCCCAAGTGAATGTTTATGGTCCAATTATAATCCTTGAAAATAATATTCATAAAGAAAAGTTAACATGCTCTTGTATGTACCATGGTGGAGTGAGCAGGTGCCATGCTTATGGTGGCAGAACATGTTGTACAATAGTTTTTTTCCCAGCATCTGTGCAGCCATTACAGTTTAACTAGAGTAACTATAAGTCATCCCTGTCGTTATCATAAAAACATAATTTTGCCAGGCTAGTCTTTTCTTATGTTGTATATTTTCAGAACACAAAGTTGTAAACCATTTGATTTGAGATAGTAAATAGGCAATAAAAATGCTGTGAAAGATTTGACTAATCTTTTTAAACATTGATATTAAAAAGTTATTTGCAATTTTTGTAATTATGACAGAGATCATGAAAGTTGTACATGAAATTCAGACAAGTCATGAATCCAAACAGGGCTGAATTACTGCTCATTATGGGATAATAGAATCACAGGGAGCAACTCAGTGTTTGGTGCTGAATACTGTCATTCCATCTTACTGGTGTAGACTGGTGTCTCCCAGCAGCACAACTTCTGCTGTTTCTCAGACTTGGTTGCAGTTTAGCACTTTATTCCAAACATTTTAAATTTATCATATAATCATAGAATTATTTGGAATGGAGAGGACATTTTAAGATCATTTCATTCTACTCCCCTGCCATGGGCAGGGACACCTTCCACTGTCCCAGGGTGCTCCAAGCCCCATCCAACCTGGCCTTGGACACCTCCAGAGGTGGGGCTGCCACAGCTCCACTGGACAATCTGTGCCAGGGCCTCACAGGGAAGAATTTCTTCTATTCAACCTAAATCTACATTCTTTCAGCTTAAATCAGTGGAATCTAGTGGCGTCCTTCATTGGGCTTTGAATCCCTCAACAACTACACCAGCAGTAAACTGCTTTCTTTTTTGCACTTTTTAGAGCAAGATCTGTCTCTCTGGTGAAGAAGAGAGTTGGGGAATGCAGGTTCTTGTGCACTTTTTCTTTTGTAGTTATTTTGATATGGGATGATGAGAAGGAGACTTCCCCAAACTTGGATGGGTACTTGGCTCTCCCTATGGGAGATCTCATGGCATTCAACTTGGTGACATTTCTCCTAGGAAAAGGATGAGGCTTGCCTCACTGCCCACCGCAGCCTGTGCCAGAGCCTCATAGGGAAGAATTTCTTTCTTCTATTCAACCTAAATCTACATTCTTTCAGCTTAAATCAGTGGAATCTAGTGGTGTCCTTCATTAGGCTTTGAATCCCTCAACAACTACACCAGCAGTAAACTGCTTTCTTTTTTGCACTTTTTAGAACAAGATCTGTCTCTCTGGTGAAGAAGAGAGTTGGGGAATGCAGGTTCTTGTGCACTTTTTCTTTTGTAGTTATTTTGATATGGGATGATGAGAAGGAGACTTCCCCAAACTTGGATGGGTACTTGGCTCTCCCTATGGGAGATCTCATGGCATTCAACTTGGTGACATTTCTCCTAGGAAAAGGATGAGGCTTGCCTCACTGCCCACCTGAATTTCACCCCAATTTTCTCTCTGCTTCACCCACATCCATCAGCTGAATTCCTTTCCCTTCTGCATCTCATTTGTGTTCACATGCAGAACTTCATGGAAATAAAATTTCCACCACAAATTGTGGTTTTCTGCTGGAGTTCAGTGAGAATTGTTTATATTTCCTAGCTAGGGGGTTATTTGGAAAAGCATTCCTCATCTGTATGCCTTCTAGCTGCAGCAGTGTAAAGCTCATGCATAAAACACAGCACGTGTTTCCACCAAAACAGGAACGTGGATAAGAAACCTTCAATGAGAACTCATCACATCAGAGGTGGTAAATAAATGAGCAACTGCAGACACTCAGACATTTTATCCCTGCCCTAGCTGGAAAAGGAGATTCACAAGGCATATGTGAAAATCCACTTCTGGAGATTCTCACTTGTGTTTTGGCAGTGAAGAATAAGAAAAGGAGGATTCCCAGGGTGAAAAGTCAGTTGTCCTACCTACTCTAGTGTTGTGACTCTTTTGCTGTCATGAATTCATGGCTTCAGAAACAGTGGAGGGAGAATGTGGAGAAGTTTCTAGCTTTTAGACACTTATTAAGTGAAATCCTGCAATTTTTTTAAAACACATTTTCTACTTAAACCCAAATGCAATGGGTTTAATATTTTAAAAGCTTTATAAATAATTGGAAAATAATAAATAATCACTTTTGGTTTGACAAAATTGGTTGGGTTGTTGTGAAAGGACAATTAAAATTTTATATTCTGTCCTTGGTTTGCCCAGCACCTTTCTGCTGGAGGGATGTTGGTGGTTAAAAGGACACATCCCTGTTTCTCTCTTTGATATGGATACATGAGGCAAAGGTTCAGAGTTTGTGTGCTTGTGGTTTGGTATTCTTCTCCTTCTTAGCAGCACAAAATTAAATCCCTCTGTCTGAGAT